GGAAAGGAGAGCCAGGGCTGGGAGGGTTGTGCCCAGCCGAGCAGGAGAGCCGCGTGTGTGTCAGCCTGGAGGCGCTGCCCTGGTGAGGGGGGGCTGCTTTGGGGGCTATCCCAAAACCGAGACCTTTGTGGTAAGGCACCAACTGGAAACCAAACGCTGCTTCCCTCCACGCAGAGCTGCTGAGAACAACTTCCTTCCCAGTCCAGATTGGTGACTCCCCAAACCCTCCAAGCCCTTCCTCCTGAACCACTGCTGTTTCTCTTCCCCTAGGGCCTGTGGAGGCAGAGTGGGGAGGAAGGTCACGATGAAGAACCAAGGTGGGGAGACCAAAGCAGCCCCACGGCCTCCCAGCTCTTCCAAAATGAGCACTGGGTTGGTGCTGGAGGAGGGCGACGCCCCGGAGGCTGCAGCACCCCTGGAAGGTGGGGAGACCCTGGGCTGGCAGACCCAGAAACCAGGTGCCCGGGTGGGCTTCAGGGTGTTGCTTTCCTTGTGGGGGGGTGGCCCAGTGTATCCAGCCCTTTTTAGGTGTATAAGGGAGTTATGATTTCTGGGCCACAAAATCCTGGTTTCTTCCTATTTCTCTGTGTGTGTGTGGTCCTGAAGTAGCCACTGCTTCCTGAGCAAAGCGTGGAGCTGATTCTCTCTGGAAGAGAAGGGTTGCTTATCGTTGCTTAGGCCTTGAGGGTCTTGTCCAGAAAATATCAGACAGCTCTTTCCTTGGGGCAGCGTTGAGTGACCTGCTCTCTTCCTGGCAGTTCATAAAAATAACTCTCTGGAAGGTGAAAACCAGGTCTGGTGGAGTAGGTGCTTTGTTAAAATGAACCCTGCCTTGTGTTCTGGTAGCTGTGGGATGTAGGAAATGAGCAGTGAGCAGAGTTAGTTTATTAACCAGCTGCTCTGCTGTAAGTTGCTCATTGCAGGTCCTGTTCTGGGCTCCCCAGTTCAGGAGAGACAGGGAGCTACTGGAGAGAGTGCAGCAGAGGCCACCGAGATGCTGAGGGGCTGGCGCATCTCTGTGCCAGGACAGGCTGAGAGCCCTGGGGCTGTGCAGCTGGAGAAGCCTCAGAGGGGATCTGATCAGTGCTGAGCAAGAGCTAAAGGGCCCCTGGGGGCAAGAGGCTGGGGCCAGACTCTGCTCAGTGGTGCCCAGGGACAGGACAAGGGGCAACGGGCACCAACTGGAACCCAGGAGGTGCCACCTGAGCAGGAAGAAAAATGTCTTTGCTGTGAGGGTGCCTGAGCCTGGAGCAAGATGCCCAGAGAGGCTGTGGAGTCTCCTGGAGAGATTCCAAACCTGCCTGGACTCCATCCTGGGTACCCTGCTGTGGGTGCCCTGCTGGAGCAGGGGGGCTGGACGAAGTGATCTCCAGAGGTCCCTCCCAACCCCACCATTCTGGGATTCTGGGATTTGGAGAAACCTTGGAAGCAAAGCAGCATCCTGTGGGATGTGCTGCCAGCTCTCTCCCTAAGTGTCTCCTGGGGACAAGACAGATTTCATCTGAGGCACTGGAGCTGCTCTTACATGTGAGGAGAGAGGGTAACCCAGGTTTAAAAACCTCTTGTCCTGTCAGAAGGCCTGGCTCGGGGTGTCAGCAGGCTGTCCTGTGAGGGAGAGCTCCCACCCAACCTGCTCTCCCTGAAGGGTGGTGGGGAGGGGGTGGAATTTCTGCTGTTGCCAGCTGTCAGGGGCTCGGTCATGCTCTCCTGATCAAAAGAGAGGCTGTTGGGAATGCACCTCCATTGTCAGGGCAGCTGGAGACAAAGCAGCTTGGGCTGCTGGAGGTCCAGGCAGCCTTGGGGCGAGGGGTGCCCGGGAGCCCTTCCCTCTGTGCCCCCAGCTGAAAGAAGCTGTTGTCTTCCCCTCTCCCACAGCCCCTCTGGCACAGGAGGACGCCAAGTGCCCCCGGCCCGCCGTGCGCGACGTCTCCGAGGAGCTGAGCAGGCAGCTGGAGGACATCCTCAACACCTACTGCGTGGATGCCAGCCAGGAGGGGCCGGGGGAGGACGTTGGGCAGGGGGAGCCCCCCGAGGCCGAGGACCCCGAGAAGGGTCGGAGCGAGTCCCCCCGGCAGGGCGAGCAGGACACGGGAGGCCCCGAGATGAACGGGGAGAAGGAGAACGCCAGGGGGGCCGAGGAGGGCGGGGAGCGGGACCAGAAGAAGGCTCAGGAGAAGAAGAAAGCCAAGGGCCTAGGTGAGAGGTTCCCTGCCCTGTCTGTGCCCCCGGCCTGAGAGCTTCAGTGCAGGGGTTGATTTTCCCCTGCCCTGATTGGCCTTGGTGCAGGAAGCACCTCGGGGGTGTGGTGTGTTTGGGCACTGCACAGCACAGGGTTTTGTGGCACATGAGGAGATGTATCAAGGGCTGCAAAGGTGCCAGCTGCTCCTGGGTGCTGCTGCAGCCCTGAGGCTCTGATTTCTCTTCTGCTGGACACAACTCTAGCCAAACCCAGGGCTGGTTTCCTGCCCTGAAAACCAGGTCTCTGCTCACCTGGGCAGAATGTAGGGCTCTGGAGATGGTACCTCTGGCCCAGGGCTGGCGTGGCTGTGAGCCCTGCTTGGTCTCTCCTGTCCTTGCCCTTATGAGCCAGAACTCTGCGTAAGGGATTTTGGTTTGTTTATTTAGTTGTTGCCATTCTGTGTCTCATTTCCAGGCAAAGAAATCACTTTGCTGATGCAGACACTGAACACCCTCAGCACGCCAGAGGAGAAACTCGCCGCGCTCTGCAAGAAATACGCTGAGCTGGTGAGTGCTCCAGGAGGCAGGAGGAGCCTGGAGATGTCTTTTTTTTCTTGGTGTTGAGAGGCACAGCCCAGGAGGACACGATTTGCAGTGCATGCTCTGGGATTTCTGCAGTGCTGGACATCCAAATACCAGAGGATGGAAGTTGCTTGGTCCAGACAGGTGTTTGCAGAAGTGTAAGCAGGGACAGGAGCATTTCTGGCAAATCTGCACTTAAGAGGACTTCACAGAGGTGTCTGTGTCACCTCCACCAGCCAGCCACCACAGTCCTGTCAATAATTCCTCAGCAAGAGATGTGTGTTTGGCAGAGTCGTGGTGCTGTGTGTGCACATTCATAGAACCAGAGACTGGTTGGGGTTGAAGGGACCTTTCAAGGTCATTCTGCTCCAACCCCCCTGCAGGGAGCAGGGCCATCTGCAGCTAGAGCAGGGTGCTCAGAGCTCCATCCAACCGCCCCTGGAATGTGTCCAGGGATGGGGCAGTGACCACCTCTCTGGGCAGCCTGGGCCAGGGGCTCACCACCCTCCGGGTGAAAAATTTCTTCGTTCTCCATAGTCTAAATCTCCCTCTTTTAGTTTCAAACCATCAACCCTTGTCCTGTTGCAACAGGCCTTGCTAAAAAGTCTGTCCCCAGGGACTGTCTGTGCACACCCAGAGTAGATGTCACAGGATCTCCCTGTGCTCAGAGCCCTGCTCCCCTTCAGCAACCTGCCCATCGAGGTGCTGGATCAATGCACAAGTGTTTTGGGTTCCAGTGGGGCAGGGATTCAGGAAGGAGAAGGGCTCCATGTCAGTCCTGCTCTGCTCAGAAGTGTTTTTTTGTGTTCCAAAGCTCCCATCCTCCTCTCAGAGCCCTCCACTCATCCCCGTGCCCCCTCACGGGGACGCAACCTATTACCCTGACCCATCCTGCTGCATCGCTGCCCTTTTCTCTCCCATCCTAGCTGGAAGAGCACCGAAACTCCCAGAAACAGATGAAGATCTTGCAGAAGAAGCAGACGCAGCTGGTGCAGGAGAAGGACCACCTGCAGAGTGAGCACAGCAAGGCCATCCTGGCCCGCAGCAAGCTGGAGAGCCTGTGCCGCGAGCTCCAGAGGCACAACCGCACCCTCAAGGCACGTGGCCCCTGGGCACTGCTCCCAGCACCTGGGGCACCTGCTCTGAGCTCTTTGGGCAAGCTTACCTTGAGCAGTGATGGCCCCACGGCCCACCATCCAGGGCACAGCTTTAATTTGGCCTTTAATCCATCGTTTTTGACAACCCTCGGGTGTTATTTCAGGGTATATTCAACAGGGAAGGGCCCAAAGTCTCTTGCTGAAGGCCAGGAGCACTAGGGGGAGGCTGGGTGGGTTCAGAGCATCCCAGGTTGGGTGGTTGGCTCAGCTGCTGACAGGTCTCTGCTCTCCTCACACAGGAGGAGGGTGTCCAGCGGGCGCGGGAGGAAGAGGAGAAGAGGAAGGAGGTGACCTCCCACTTCCAGGTGACCCTGAACAACATCCAGCTGCAGATGGAGCAGCACAACGAGAGGAACTCCAAACTGCGCCAGGAGAACATGGAGCTGGCAGAGAGGCTCAAGAAGCTCATCGAGCAGTACGAGCTGCGGGAGGAGGTGGGTCAGGCTGGGAGAGCTGACAGCCTAGGGCTGCGTGGGTGCTGCTTTTGCTCAGTGGAGCTGCTGGAGGGGAGAAGGGGCCTCTAGGATCATAGACTCGTTTTGGTGGGAAGAGACCTTTAAGGTCACCGAGTCCAACCCTCCCCCAGCACTGCCAGGTCCCCACTGCCCCGTGTCCCTCACCCCACATCTCCACGGCTTGGAAACCCCTCCAGGGGTGGGGACTCCACCACTGCCCTGGGCAGCCTGGCACAGCCCTGGGCAACCCTCCAGGGGAAGAAATTTTTCTTCAGCTCCAACCTCAGCCTCCCCTGGTGTAACTTGAGGCTGTTTCCTCTTGTTCTGACACTTATTCCTTGGGAGCAGAGCCAGAACCCCCCCTGGACA